TGTCGGAGTAGTAGTGAACATTTGCTGTTACTGGACAGCTTGCTGAACTTGCTTAATCTTGACAGTGGTGAAGATACAAACACTGACTGTCAATCTTGGACTTGGACTAAAGTTGACATGGTGATAAAACTTGATAAAACTTTTCCTAACATCACACTTGGAAAGGTTGAGTGAGTTTGAATATAAACTTTACACTTGAAAATGAGTTATTGGTTAAAGATACACTGTGACATTTGATGCTTCTCTGAGCAGCAGCTGTACTGATCCTTGTAGAAGAGATAACAGAACTGCATGGACATTTAGATGAGCCCTTTACCTTTTCCAAATCGCTTTGGCTACAGAGCTACAGAGAGTGAGTCATGCCGTAGCCCTTTCAGCAAAGCGATCCACTTCAGGTTAGGTTGCCCTCCGGGCTGGATTTCTGTAAATGCTTACAGTCACGCACATAGATAAAGCTGTTAATGCTGTGATGGAATCATCCCCAGCTTTAGATTGCTTTATCTACACTGCCGAACCATTTGCATATAACACATAAACAGTTATTACTTAGCAATGCATGAGGATTTGTCTTTTCCTTTAATGTGCATTACACAGATTGAGGGCTCTGCTGTGTTCGCTTTACATTCCATTATTGCATGTGAGTGGTTGCACTCTATAGAGCAATTTTCCTTCAATTTTGTCACCGTATTGTAAATCGTACTCAGTCACATGCTGTATCGACCACAAAAATCAGCAGTGGGCTTTGTGCCACTCTTGTAAAATCTTCAATAGGATTTTCATTTCTGCTGAAAAAATAGATTGTTCCAGAGAGATGGCTCAGCGCTGAATTAGACAAAATAAATCACACTGTAGACTGTCAGCTCGCAGCCCACAGCATTATGCTCATCGCTGGATATCTGAAATAATCTCTCCACAACAAAACCAACTGAGCTCATGGCTGGGCATGTTTGTTGGTTCTGTTTGTTGAAAGAAAAAAAGCTTCCAGTCACCTTTGTCGCACCACAGATTCGCTGAAGTTGTGTCTACATTAGACGATCAGCTTTCATCTGTCACCCTACCGTTTCGCTGCTGCTTCTCTAATGCAGAAGCTCTGTTGCTGCTCAGATTCTATAAGCACTCCAAATGTCTGTGAATTTCTACTGTAAATAGTGAATCTTTGGCATAGGTGACTGGAGCTTGAAATGTCATTTATTCTTTCTTGATTTCAAGACATGTCTTACATGCATACATGAAAGCTATAACGGTTAACTCTTTATTGTGTTAGTTATTATTCTTCAATCTCAGCATTCATTTTATTGTCAACTACAGACCTTTAAAGTATCTTAAACCACCTTTGTGGTAGTTCCTGCAGAGTAGGCAGATCCAGAACTTCAATTTACCATGATGATTGGTGATTAGTAGTCAATCCAGCAACCAAAAGTTAGTCATTTTCAATTTCTTAAATCTATATCCTCTATGTTTAATCTCACTAAATTAATACAAACTATAAGACCTGATAGACATAACATTAGCAGAGCATAAATGTTATGTGGGTAGTGTGGGAAGTTTAAAGCTTTAAGAACTTTTTTACTTGAATCTGCTTGAGGTGTTTTTCCTTGTGACCATCAATTGGCCATGCAGCTAACTAACTGGTTCCTTGTTTTAATGAATGTGGGTAATGGGAAGTGTGGTAAATAGCTCTGATTGCTCTTATCTGCAGGCTAATGATGTCTTGGGCTCTTTTCAATTAAGGTGGGAACGAGGTCACTAAAAGGTTTTTTTTCATAGCTCAGCCATTCAGCTTCATTAAAGCCTTTCGCATGTATTCATTAAGGCTGCAGCCACAGGTGCCCAAAGCACATGCTCTGCTTCCCTCTTTTATCCTCTATAAACTAATTAAGAACTTATTAATCCTCCATCAGTAGCTTTGGGCTTTGGACCCTTCCTGCAGAGTCCCTTTTGGCTGTGGTTTTGGCACTGGTCTATCTATGTGCTAGCCACACTATTCAGTGCTGATGTGTGAAAACTTGGGCTTAAAAGTCATTCACCCATATGTTTTTTTTTTCTTTTCAGATGCTTTAATTTCTGAATTGCCTTAGTTTCTTTCTCCAACATGTATGAGTTCACACAAAATGTAACAGACAAAATGTGTCATACTTAAATAGTTCATATCATTAAAGAGATTTTTATACTAGGCAAAGATAACCCAAGGACATTTTTAAATTTACATTTTTTAAATGATCATTTCATTTATTTCAAGTAAGGGAAAAAACATGATCAAAGCCTACCAGGTCCAGTGTGAAAAAATCTTGCCAAAACTTAGCAACTGGTTGTGCCAACCTTGGCAGCAAGAACTGCAATCTAGAATTAATGTTAACTGGCAATGAGTCTTTCACATTACTATGGAGCATTTTCTTTCCCCAAATCTTCCTTATAGAATTAATTTTTAATTTGACCAAACTGAATGATTTTTGAGCATAATTGGCCTGTTTAAGGCCATGTCGAACCATCTAAATCAGAGTTAAGTACTTACTTTGACTAAGCCAATGAGCCACTCAGAGTTGGACTTGCTGGTGTGTTTTGGGACATTGTCCTGCTGCATAGCTTGAGCTTCAGGGCACGAGCTGATGGCCAGACATTCTTCTTCAGGATTTACTTGAGCAGAATTCATAGTTTGATATAATCAGGGTGTGAGGCAGCTCAGCAGTCCATTTCACCATACCACTACCATGACTGACTGTTGATATGTTCATCACATAAAATACTGTGTTAGCATTATGCCAGATGTAAACCTTCTAAAAATGTTTAACTCCTGTTTTGTCAGTCCACAGAAATTTTTTTCTCAAAAGTCTTATTGATTAGCAGTGGTTTTTATCTTTTTCATTGTTAAATCAGGAACACTCAGTTTAAATGAAGGAAATGAAGGCTTATAGTTCTTTAGATGCTCCTCTAGATTCTTTTGTCACCTAGTGGATGGGTCAGTCAATCTTAGGAAGGATCGTCACTGTTTAAAGTTTTCTCCATTTGTGGTTAATGTCTCTCACCATGGTTTGCAGCAGTACCAAAGCCTTAGAAATCGGTTTGGAACCTTGTAGATGTCAATGACTTTGTTTCTTTAGATTGTAGCATGAAGTGTTGCTTTTCAGATCCTTAAGCCTGATTCACTTTGCCAGACAGATTCAATTTATTCATTCTTTATTTTACAGGTATGGCAGTTATCGGGCTCGGGAAACTGACCTCGGCTTTCTAAAAAATGTATATATATATATATTAATGGGGAAGGGGGAAAAATACAAAATTTAAAAAACAGGAGGTTGAGAGTATGTTATGCTAATTAGGCATGGATTTGTGTAGTTTATGCCATGTGGCACTTAATTCAAGGATGCTAGTCTGGGAAAAGCTGTACTGTTCAAAGATTGCTCCGACAATGTATCAGAACAATGTAGTTTATTTTTAGTTAGTGATCCACTCATGATCTACTGATCATGCCGAGAACGTGCTTCCTGAAACACATTCCTGGATCCTGATTCCTGGAATGTGTTTTGGTATTGGTGGTTAAAACGGTTGCATTTTCCCCACAGTGGGCTTTTATAGAGTAAGAATGAGTTTACAAAAAAAATTGACCTTGAAGCACTGCACGAGAATATCTTAACCTCTTTATTAAAATTGAATAAATAAAGTTGAGCAGTATTCTCAGTCTCGTGCTTTCTTTTGTAGACACATGGGATGCAATCAAAGGTAGCAAGACAAAGTGATAATTGCTATTTTTATCATTCCAGAAATAAATCCCTCTTTCACACAGCGTCATTCGGCCAGGCCTGCCAACTTCAATATTTAACAAAAGAAATAATCTCAAAATGCAACAGCACAATCTTCTGTCAGCCAACTAAATAAATAAATGAATAGTCAGATGCAGTATATTCCTACTGGTCAGACCAAAAAAGCAGTCTGCTTTGATGACAGACTTCAAGCTTCATTTTCTGCCTTTCTGTGGAGGGTTCATCTGCAGTCCACTGCCCCTCTTTTACCCACATCTCTGCAAATCTTCAGATGGGAAAAGAGGTGACCCTTGGTCCATTTATTGAGATGGACGGCATACTCTTGGATTTGAGAGAAAAATGTGTGGAAAGAGTCAATAAATATCTGAAAATAACTGCCGTGTTTAACAGCATCACGGATCGAAAGTTCTACGTTCAGACAGCGAGTGATGGTCAGGCTAGGGTTGTTCTTTCTCACAGAGATGTGTGGCTGGTCCTCTTCTGTTTCTGTTATTATTATTTTTTTGCTGTATGTGGCTACCTGCTGCACATGACTATGTGTCAAATGAATTTCACATGGTTTGCTCATTATTGCATCTGGGCAAGGACACAAAGCCTAGAGCAGCTTTGCCTGTGTTATTTCCTTTTTATATCCTGCAGTGATACTTTATATGGAGCCATAGTAATTCCTTAGAATTTGGCTTTCACTCAGTTCAGTAGCATTAAAAAATATCTTTGTTTCTGGATTTGTAGGTCAAACAAAACGGAGAAGGTGAAAAAAGGGAAAAATTACCTCAAGGTTTCTCGTAACTCAGACTCCTTTTCCCAACCCCAAAGCTTCTCTCCGTGCTTTTGTCGAGCATGCAATTCGCCAACGTGTCATGGGCTCCATTTTTATCTGTCACATTCGTTTGCGCGTGATGGCCGCTGATGCTCGGCTCATTAAGAATTCTCCCCCCTCCTCTTCCTCCTGCTGCTGTTGCTGCTGCGGCTCTCCTTGAGATCCGAGAGGCTGCGACTCACTGACTCACATTCGTCCTTGACTAACACCCCTATCCTTTATTTCCGCGACTTTGCCTTTTATACTTCTCTGATTCCTTTCTTTCCTAGGTGCTTCTTATCTAGTGTTTCCTTCTTTCTCATACTGTTCTTTTTGATTTTTACTTTTTTTCTGTTCCCAACCTGTGTTGATAAACTGTGCTCTGAATCCCTCCCAGAATAGTCTTTATCCTGACCATTTATTCTCTCTGTCTGTCTCTGTAGGAGCTGGTGGGCAGTAACCCTCCGCAGAGGAACTGGAAGGGAATAGCGATCGCCCTTCTTGTCATTCTGGTCATCTGTTCGCTGATCGTCACCTCCGTCATCCTGTTGACACCAGGTACACGGCGCAGGATGGAAGGGGGAGGGACACCATACACTACACATCCCTGTGTTTACAAGGCTATTATTATGCACCAACATGCTCATTAAGCTTTCACAATCAATCTCACCACGAACAATGCAAAGAATAAAGTGTGAGTGTCAGTATCTCAGTCCTTGTGTGCTCCAGGCTTTCATGCCGAGTTTGCAGTGTCACTCGCCCTTAGCATCCACATGGGCACTCTTGCTGTAAAGGCTACATTTAGTGAAGGTCAGGAAACCTAATTGAAGTCAGTTTACGCAACATTGCTTTCTTCCTAAACATAGTTGCCATATGTCTTTATAATGTTGCGCAGACACACACACACACACACACACACACTTTGAATGCCGTTTTTTCCCCCTTGGTTATTTTAAGGCAGTTTCAATTTCGGGATGACCTTCAGGATTTCTGTTTGGAAATTTTGATTAAAGTTAAATCAATAGACCATCTGTTTATGGTCAGGCTCATAAAGCTGCTTGACGTGCTTTTATGCACTGCCAGAGTCAAATCTGTCAATACAACTGGTAGTGTGTGTGAACTATAATTCAGCTCCAAAGACAGTAATCACTGTGCACTTGTTTGTGATTTTTCTGTCACAGGGAATTGTAGCTAATGTCCACAGCCCAGAGTGAGGTCAACTTTTACTAAAGAAATTCAGTGTTGTTTTTTTCTGTAGTGTTCTTAGAGATGTACACCGATGTAAGAGCAAAAATATCACCGGGGTAGACTGCGGCTCGACGGCAGGTGTCAAATCAGCATGACCTAAACCTCCTTGTCACCTCCTGGCTGCAGTCTCTTCCTGTCCTGGGGCATTTGTTGTGGATTTGGATTAAATTGAGCTGCTTTATGTGGCAGTACAAAACACGTCAGGCCAACAGGAGTCAGGCAGAAAGTGGACACCAGGCAGGTGGTGTCTCCAGCTTGTACTTTGTCCTAATCTGACCCTCCCTGTGTTGATTTTTGTGTGTTCAAGCAGAACTACTGCTCTGCTGCAAGGCTTGACACATGCAATCGTTTCTCCCTCGTTTTGGTCTCAAAAAGACATTAAACTACTTAGGTAAGCAGATTTTAGAAACCTTTGGATATTAAAATATGTTGTGACCTCATGAAATCCAATTCTGCAAGTTTGTGCGTTCTAATTGGATGTCATGAGCAACTGAGTTGAGCTTCAAAGACAGTTTATTTTGCTCTTTGAGATACTAGTATTCACCATACGCAATTAATTGAATGGCTGGATTTTTCAAAGTCAAATATTTTATCTACTTGGAGAGTTAGAAAAAAGTTTGGAGATACTCTTTGAACTGGGATGTTTGTCAAAAAAAGCAGCAAATTCCCTGAAAATAATTTTTTGTAAGGTTTGAGTGATTAGTCTTTCAAAGAGTAAGCACAGATGCAGTTTGTGTTAGGTACCTTAGTTGTGTTAGATGCTTTTGATACCATTTGTATGCCTGTAAATTCTGAAAAGCTTATGTGTGCTTAGTTTAAAGCTGAGTAAATGGCTAGACTGACTCAGAGTATAAGGACTAGAGATGGCACGATACCACTTTTTTATGTCCGATACCGATACCGATATCATAAATTTGGATATCTGCCGATACCGATATGAATCCGATATAGTGTTTTTTAATCAACAAAACTGTTTTTTTAAATATCTTGCTGCATTTTGTATAAGTTCATACTCAAGTTTAAAACAACAACTACACTAAAGCTATTCTGTTATACCTGTATGCAAAAAAAAATTTCATAGTTCAGCAATACTGATCAATCTAATAAACTTAAACCTACACCATCCTCCCTATTCTGGTATTTTAAAGAGTACTTAGCGTAAATATTAAGCAACCTAACTAATAGGGTTCCAACTCCCAGCAACAACAAAAATAAATAAATAAAAAATAGGGAACCACCCCTCACGCTCCACCTCATGATGCTTAATCGACGTAATCAACCTTAATTTGATGCAGTGTGAAAAAAAATGCACAGAAATCAATTATTTTTCAATAATAAAATATTAAATAGATTCAACATCTTTCTTCAACAAAATTGCAGACTGCACAGATGGTACCTTCCCAAAGGAAAAAGTACTATAGCTTACTAGTTGGTATATATATATTAGACTTAATAGTTACTATATACAGTAATGGACTTCTATTCATTTTACATCAAATTAAAACTTTGGGTGTCAGATAATTATTTATTAAAAGCTAGACATTTTAAATGAGAATAAGAAAGAAAAGTATGTCTTTGTGCCCCCTTTTCCCTGTTAATGCCCTATCGGCCCCCCTGGCTAAACTTTGCTAGATCCGCCCCTGCACAGTTACCAGCCGTCAGCTACGTAGAAAAAGATCCTGGTGTAGAAATAATATTAAATAAATTCTAACAACAGCTTATCAAGCTTAAACGTGCTGCTGTTGTTCAGCCGCTGGTTTCCTCTTTCTGGTGCAAAGTGGGCCAAAAACAAACAAGAGACACGGACTCGCGACAGAAAAGCCGATCAGCTTCATGATTGAAGTAGCAGCAAGAAGAGGCAGTCGCTCCATATATCGTTTGTTAAGCTTAACGCAGGAATGCTTTACAAACATTCAGAGATGGACTTACACACTTGCTTTACTTCTCTCGGGGATAACTTTGTCGGAGATGAAATGCCGGGTTGCTAGCGAAGCTCCAAATGCTATCCAGACCACCGACAGGTCCCGCATGCCACAGCCGCTCTATCACGTGATGCATACTGCTCCGACGTGCTAACGTTCTGAGGTGAGTTACGGCGTGTTGCAAGTTTTGTGAGGTGCTTTCGTGATATTTAATGGATCGGATTACATTTTTTATTTTTCTCCGATATCCGATCCAGTAATTTAGGTCAGTATCGGACCGATACCGATACGTAATATCGGATCGGTCCATCTCTAATAAGGACCTCTAAAGGTCTCTGTGAATTATGTTTACAAAATCAGAAATCTCAAAAGAGTAAGATTTGCTGTTGGAAAAACCCAGGCAGTCTGCCAAAGGACCTATGGAGATTGCATTTAGACAACAAATAGTCTGTAAAATTTTAACCTTGTACTAATGCTGTGTGTGTGTGTTCACTAGTTAAATTTCATTTCCAACTTCCACTCACCATCTTCATAACTCCATGTGCTCAGCTGTTTCCCAGTATACACTGTCCTCTGGTGCTGTTTTGACCTAATTTGGGCAAAAGATCAATGACCTTGGTGTGGCATCCATTGCTGCCTCTCCACAATTCACAGGAATCAGAACAAACGTGCACACAATGATCCCCTAACGGTCTTCGTACAAATTGCGCTCAGGATCAATGTCTTCTTTGTGATTTTACAGGCACATTTCCAGTTTTATAGGAACTGCCACCCCGATTAGGGTAGCAGCCTTTACATTCTTGTTGTGCCATGCAGCATCTCCACGAGGGCTGGGCATTTAAAAGCAAAGATACTGTTTGGCAATCACTATTTTACTACTCTTTAGCAGTTATCGTCACACAGTGGTGTTTGTCACATGAATTCTAAATATTGTTTAATTCCAACCCAAGTTAAAGTAGTAAAGAAATCACTCTCCTTTCATGTCAAATGGCATTCTGTTATAAAGCTTCTCACTTTTTTGGTAGTTAATTAAAGGATACGTGTAAACTGTGAATCTATTAATCTTATGGGTTTGTCTGGTGTCACATTTAAAATGGATGGGCCTTATCAAGCTGTGAGACTAGTTTTGTTTTGTTTTTGCACATGCAGATTGTGGCTAAGATAAACCTTGCTGTTAGGATCTATGCATTTGTAGAAACAGCTAGCATTAGCAAGTAAACAAGTGATTTATCACTTTTAACATATAACCTTTCTCTTACCTACCCATCTTGTACAATAAGATGTGGAGTTACATTGCAGTTTTAAAAAGATTCATCACATACAAAAAGAAAACCTTGATGATGAAGAGTGGCTATGAACTCCTGTCATTTTTAGTTTAAAAAAAAAAACAGGCAAGTTAAACAACATTTTTAGATTTAGCCTCTCCAAGAAACAGCTTATTTTGTCACTAACTTTAACCAACTGCTTTACTAATGCACCGTCATTTTCTTTTATATTTTTAAGATCACCACATCCCACCCATTCTACCTATTTCACAAAATAGTTTGATGGTTTTCTTTTTTAAGAAAATCATAGATAGGTAGGTAGATACTTGATCCCACAGGGGAAATTATTTTGTTATAGCAGCAGGATAAAGATTAAAAACAGTACAATTTCCAGTAATTAAACAAACTAGTAAAAGTGCCACAGGTGCATAGTGATGGCCTTGTGCTGTAAAATTTTACATATAAATAAAAAACAAAGAAAATAAAAATGAGGTTAAGTTAAAGATGAAAATAAAAATAAGACTGAAACTGAAATGGAGAGAGACTGAGACAGAGTAGTGCAAATGCATTAACAAATAAAGTGTATGCTATAAATCTAAGAAACAGCTGTACGAGGGTATAATACACACACATTTCTGTGTGGGAAATCTTATACCTGTCAGGTGTGTTCATCTGTCAGAGAAGGAAGAGTAACTGTACACTTTCAAAGAGAACAATAGGAATGACTTTCTGAAGCATTTTTTATGGCAGCAGGGTTGAATAAGTCTGAGGGAGAATGAACTCTGCTGCCTCACTAGTTTAAAATGGAGTGGGTGACATGGGTCATCCATGATGGAGAGCAGTTTGTTCAGTGACCCCATGTCCCTCACGGACTCAAACGCCTTCAGACTCTTGCCAGTGATGCTTCAAGCCCCGTGAATCGGTTGGTTGATCTTGACCCCACCAACAAACCGATAAGAGCAAAGAGCAGATGAAAGTCATACTTTCACTATTCCTAAATACTCTTATACACCATAATATACCACCATCCAAGCATATATAAGTGCTTCTGCTGGTCGTGAATCATCACGATTGCCAAGATATCTGCTAATAATCAGGAATATTAGTCCTAATTATTATGGGG